TGTGCGGGACGCTCAGCGCACGCGGCGCTTTGGGCTCCTGCGCGGCGGGCGTGACCGGGCTCAGGTTGACCTTGGGGAAGAGAATCTGGCGCCCTCCCGAGGACACCTGGAACGTGTAGGGCCGGGGCATGGTCTGCCTCTCCTCCACCTCCTGCCACCGCAGTTCCTCCACCCTTCTTTCTTTCTTGGGAGCGGCTGCTTCGTTCTTCAACTTCTCCTCTATGGGCGCCTCCTGCTGCTGAGGAGGCTCCCCGCGGACCACTTCGCTCTTGGCCTCCCAAACACGTGGTTCTTCCCCGTAACAACCTGCCCTCGGGCCCAGGCGCTCTCCAGTTGGCCTGGCCTCTTGGCTCTGCAACTCCTCCGAGCTCTCTCCTTGCCTTTTAGGTTCCACACTGTCTTGCTCTTCTGGCTTCTCCCCTGAGTCATTCTGAGGTGGGCTCCGCAGACTTCTGCTGTCCCTTACTTGTGGCTGCCCCTCTTCTTCCCACATCCCCGGGGTTGCCCAGGGCTCCTCCTCCTCTGACCCCTGTTGCCCGGGCACCTCTGTCTCCTCCTCACGCTGCTCTAGCTCTTCTCTTCGCTGGGCCTCCTCTTCCTGCTGCTGCCGCCGCTGTGTGAGTTCCTGCAGCCGCTCCTCTTCCTCCTGATCACGTCTTCTTTCTGCCTCCAGCTCCTCCTGCTGCCTCAGCTCCTCCAGCCTTCTGGCCTCCTCTACCAGCCTCCGCGCCTCCTCTTCCTCCTCCAGCCAATGTTCCTCCAGCCTTCTGAGTCCCTCCAACTCCCTTTCTTCTTCCTGCTGCTGCCTCTCTGCTTCGTGCTCAGCCTCCTCCTGCAGACACCTCTGCTCCTCCGCCTCGCTGCGCTCCCGCTCCTCCTGCTCCCTCAGCTCCTGCTCCCCGCAGCCCTGCTCTTCCAGGCCCTGCCGCTGCCCTTCTTCCTGAGGCTCCTTTTCGGCCTCTAGCAGCAGTTGCTCCTCCTCTCCTTCCTCTTCTTCGCCCTCTTCCAAGAGCTCCTGCCGTCTGTTTTCCTCCCAGAGCCTCCTCTCTAGCGCCTGCAGCCTCTGCTCCTCCAGACGTCTCTTCTCCGCAGCTTCGGCCTTCTGCCGCTTGCACTTGGCCTCTAGCTCTTGCCAGTAGTGTTCTTGGCGTCTTTTCTCTTCTTCAGGACCCAGCGGCTCTGGTTCCTCTTCATGCCAAATGTGCCTCTCTTCTCCCTGCTGCCCGTCCTGGTCTAAGGAGGGCTGACTCTCCAGGCCTGGCTCATTTTGTCGTTCCTAACATGGAGAAACAAACAATTTGCCTTAGGCTTTTCCCATAGGCAGCCCTTAGGAGTCATTCTCAGTACAGGTGGTGCTGTTTATCACAAAAGAAGGGGCAGGTGTTTCCCAAAGAACAGCTACAGCAGGTTCCCCTTACCTGAAGTTTGTCTTCTCACTTCGCCTTACCTGCCCTTAACCAAATATTAAATGAAAAAATTCCAAAAACAATGAATGCATTTTAAATAATTTTAGGACACATTGAGCATAATGCTATTTATTACTTAGTCTTTTACTGTGCCTAATCTATGAATTAAACTTTTAAAGTATGTATGTATAGGAAAAAAATATAGTCAAGAGCAGGTTCATGTATCAGGTACCCACTAAGAATCTTAGAACCTATCCCTATAGGCAAGGGAGGAATACTGTAAAGATAAACTGAGGCGCTGGTCATACCAACCAAGGGTAAACTGTGGGAATGAAGGAAATAACTTTATCTTTAATAAAGATATATTTACAGGCCAGGGATTTAACTCAGTGGTTCTTCTGCCTGCCTTGCAAGCACAAGATCCTGAGTTCGACCCCCGGTACCCCCCAAAAAAGATATATTTATGGTTTACTCTCTCTAAATCCTTTGTTATTGCCAAATTCCTTTTCCTTAATAAGAATGAACAACAGGAAAATGCATATTGCCTCATTAAGAATTCCACCCTAGTCAGACTAAAAGCCTTTTGGCTAGGCCACAGCAGAGAAGGGCTGGCTGGTCTTTCTGCTGCAAAACAAGCACCAAGCATGTGGGTCCCCTCCACAGCCCACTCAGCCTCATGTCAGGCAGGAAGGACAGCAGAAGCTAAACAGACCTGCTGACTGGTCTACTCATGTTCCTAATGGGGAGAGACCTCGGTCCCTCTATGGCTCTACCCTATACCAACTCACCCAAGCAAGGGCACCTGCCTGGCCAGCCAGGACAAGGACAGAGTCTACGCACCCAGGCAAGTCGCCTGTGCTTCTTTGACACCCTCTGGTTTTTTGGCTTAACCGACAGTTTGTGCTTGGCAGCACTGTTGTCCAGGCGAGCGATGGCCAGGGGTCTTCCAGGCCCTGCCGCTGCCCTTCTTCCTGAGGCTCCTTTTCGGCCTCTAGCAGCAGTTGCTCCTCCTCTCCTTCCTCTTCTTCGCCCTCTTCCAAGAGCTCCTGCCGTCTGTTTTCCTCCCAGAGCCTCCTCTCTAGCGCCTGCAGCCTCTGCTCCTCCAGACGTCTCTTCTCCGCAGCTTCGGCCTTCTGCCGCTTGCACTTGGCCTCTAGCTCTTGCCAGTAGTGTTCTTGGCGTCTTTTCTCTTCTTCAGGACCCAGCGGCTGGGTCCTCTTCTTCGCCCTCTTCCAAGAGCTCCTGCCGTCTGTTTTCCTCCCAGAGCCTCCTCTCTAGCGCCTGCAGCCTCTGCTCCTCCAGACGTCTCTTCTCCGCAGCTTCGGCCTTCTGCCGCTTGCACTTGGCCTCTAGCTCTTGCCAGTAGTGTTCTTGGCGTCTTTTCTCTTCTTCAGGACCCAGCGGCTCTGGTTCCTCTTCATGCCAAATGTGCCTCTCTTCTCCCTGCTGCCCGTCCTGGTCTAAGGAGGGCTGACTCTCCAGGCCTGGCTCATTTTGTCGTTCCTAACATGGAGAAACAAACAATTTGCCTTAGGCTTTTCCCATAGGCAGCCCTTAGGAGTCATTCTCAGTACAGGTGGTGCTGTTTATCACAAAAGAAGGGGCAGGTGTTTCCCAAAGAACAGCTACAGCAGGTTCCCCTTACCTGAAGTTTGTCTTCTCACTTCGCCTTACCTGCCCTTAACCAAATATTAAATGAAAAAATTCCAAAAACAATGAATGCATTTTAAATAATTTTAGGACACATTGAGCATAATGCTATTTATTACTTAGTCTTTTACTGTGCCTAATCTATGAATTAAACTTTTAAAGTATGTATGTATAGGAAAAAAATATAGTCAAGAGCAGGTTCATGTATCAGGTACCCACTAAGAATCTTAGAACCTATCCCTATAGGCAAGGGAGGAATACTGTAAAGATAAACTGAGGCGCTGGTCATACCAACCAAGGGTAAACTGTGGGAATGAAGGAAATAACTTTATCTTTAATAAAGATATATTTACAGGCCAGGGATTTAACTCAGTGGTTCTTCTGCCTGCCTTGCAAGCACAAGATCCTGAGTTCGACCCCCGGTACCCCCCAAAAAAGATATATTTATGGTTTACTCTCTCTAAATCCTTTGTTATTGCCAAATTCCTTTTCCTTAATAAGAATGAACAACAGGAAAATGCATATTGCCTCATTAAGAATTCCACCCTAGTCAGACTAAAAGCCTTTTGGCTAGGCCACAGCAGAGAAGGGCTGGCTGGTCTTTCTGCTGCAAAACAAGCACCAAGCATGTGGGTCCCCTCCACAGCCCACTCAGCCTCATGTCAGGCAGGAAGGACAGCAGAAGCTAAACAGACCTGCTGACTGGTCTACTCATGTTCCTAATGGGGAGAGACCTCGGTCCCTCTATGGCTCTACCCTATACCAACTCACCCAAGCAAGGGCACCTGCCTGGCCAGCCAGGACAAGGACAGAGTCTACGCACCCAGGCAAGTCGCCTGTGCTTCTTTGACACCCTCTGGTTTTTTGGCTTAACCGACAGTTTGTGCTTGGCAGCACTGTTGTCCAGGCGAGCGATGGCCAGGGGAATGGCATCAAGGTTGACACTTTCAATGGTGCCAGCAGAAGACAAGTGCCTTTTTGGCCGAGATGGTTTAACTGGAGCAACCTGTAATGCAGATTAAGGTATAAAGTCAATCTGGACAGGAAAATTCACATGGAATCCCAGATTGGTAGCACTCAAGCGGAGTCTGCATCCTCAGACAGAAGGGCTCGTGGGTCCAGGGAAATGAGGGACAGCCTGCAGTTCCAGATGCAGATGCAGTCACTGAGAAATCACAGCCTCAGACTGACCGGACATGTTTAGAAAAGTCAGAGTGACAGCAGCACAGACTAAACCAGAGGCCAGGCTGATCAGAGGGCAGGAAGCTACATCTGTAACTGCAGAGAACTTAGACAAGCAGTGAGTCAGGGCTCCTGCCTGCAAGATGCCAGCATGCAGGGGACACTCCTGGCCCCATCTGCCTACACTGTGGCTCCACACACACAAGGCCCATGCTGGGTGCAGGCTCATGTGTTTGACAGTGTTTGTGCAGCAAGTGTAGAGTGTACGAGGTTTAGCCAAAGGGTTTGACTTTTGCAATTACCTTCCCTATTTATGAACAAAGATAAAAGACCACAGTAACCCAAGAGAGACATGGAAGCTCAGTACACTGCAATTTATGACAAGCTCAGAAGAAATACTCCTGGCCTTTGGCCTTCTAGTTTTCATTTATTTATGGTTATCTTTACAAAAGGTATGAAATTCTGAGCTACTGAGGAGAGACCAAGTAAATATTTACTTCCATCCCCTAAGAGGTGCACAAGGAAAGGAAGTCAGGGCCCGTGGGACAGGCACAATAAGCTGAGATACCAGCACCCTACTTTATTTCTAGTTATCCCAGCAGGGCCGGTCACTAGCACTGTCCGAGCCATGCCTGTTGTGGGGAGCAGACCCGCTCACTGTCCCCTCGGACAGAGAGTCCTCCCTCTGGAGGAGGGCTGTCCCCTGAGCAAGTGAGAAGTCCTTAGCAGAACATCAGCTCCTATGGAAGAGTGCTCAGGGGTTAAGGGTCTGGATTACCTAGACGCATGCAGCAGGCAAAGTCATGGGTTTAAAAGGGACCTGGAAACACGACCATGTACATACACGGGGTGGGGGGGACAGAGAGGGAGAGAGGGACAGGCACAGGCTAAGGCTGGGGATTTTTGTTTATTTGTTTGCTTCTTGTATCTCTATTAGAGGATTCTTCCTTAAAGACTTGGGGTAAATTCAGTTATTCTGGGACGCCCTTTTCCATGGATTAACACTGACTTGAGGGCGAGACACATTTTGGAAGGCTGCTAACTTCTAAGACCCTAGTGCATGTTGGGCATTTTTGCAGAGCAGGGTTCAGTTCCAGCAGTTGTGTTGCCATGGAAACAGATGCTCCACCCCTCAACCACTGGTCACATGGTGAGGGAACTTTAACACATGAAGGCAACATTTATGAATGAAAAATGAGGCAGCAGGTGAAAAAAAAAAACTGGAAGGTAAAGTCAGGAAACAAAGTTCAACTTCCGTTACCTTGTCTTCCATCTCACTCCCAGCTCCAGGACGATTCAGAGGACCTGGAGAACTTGGCGAATCACTGGACTGGAACAAAAGAGGACGCAATCCAGTCAAACACCAGAAAAGCAAGTTCTGGGCAAATACTCAGACACCATCTGAGCCTGGCGAGGGCTGCCCCCTCCTTCATACAAGGGTGAGTCTGGCCCCCAACAGCCGGGGTGGAACTCTCGTGATGAGGACTAGCTGAGGCACAGAGGGCGAGGTCTCCTTCCCAAGGTCACTGCCCTTCCCACCTGGGTGGCCCCTATGTCAGGCCAGGGTCCTCTTCACCGCCTGAGAGAAGCTGAGGGGCTGCTTATTGGCCATCTGACCCAGGGAACGGGGCTGTGCCACATACATGGCTCCAGCCTCGGAGCTCTGGCCTGGCCTGGCACCTTCCACCCACCCCTTCACCTGCTGGAACTTTCACCTCTATGCAAGGAGTGAGGGGAAAAAGGCCCTCCCAGTGCCACATACAAAGGGCTGGGCTGAGAAGGAAGTGAGGAGGGAGCAAAATCACAGGGAGGAAGAAGAGACTGCTAGAGACGCACCCCAGGGTCCTAGGCATGCCCTGGGCACACCCCAGCTGGGCACCACACCTTCCCAACAGCCCTCTCTGTTGCAGCTCTATGTGCCAACTTGTGTCACCCTTTTTACAAAAGATCTTCTCTTCCAGAGCCACAGCCCGCTGCCCCTGCCTGTCCATTCTCTGCACCAAACTTAGAAACAAACACAAATCAGATTATGACACTGCCCTGCTAACATTCCTCAGAGGCACTAACATTCCCCACTGCCTGCAGAGCAGAATTCCCACAGATTTCCCCTTTTCCTGTGGTCTGCACATCTGGCTTCCCTTGGCGCCTGTCCGGCCACACTTCCCTCTTCCTGGTCCGCCTTCCAGATGAGCTCAGTCCTTCGGGACTTCTATGCCAGCTCACTCGCCACCTAGTCCATTCTTCTACTTGCTCTCCTGGGTCTGCTCTCAGCCACACACCTTAAAGACCTAATCTCCCCCCGTTACTCACTTTCCAATTACCCTGTTTCATCTTCTGTGCAGCTAATATTTTTCTGGATCTGAAGTGATTACATTTATCTATTCACTGGCCACTCATTAGGATGCAAACTGCAAGGAGGAGGTACTGGGCTAATCTTGCTCATCTCCTAACACCCACATCTGAGTCAAGGTCTGCTACACAGCCAGCCGCGCCCCTCCGCACTGCCCCAGAGGCTACGGGGCCTGCTCTGAGGAGCTCACAGTGACAAAGAGTCACTGCTTCCATTCTTGTGAAATCCCTGCATGGAGGTGAGGGCTGTTGCTGTCGTCTCGCCCTGCAGGCTGGGGAGAACATTTCTAGACAGATCAGGAGGGATGAGTCTCATCCCTGCTTCACACACCACTCAAAGGGCGTTAATGTGTGTGTGCCAGGGGCATCTGGCCAGGGCCAGGAAGAGGGGCCAGAGTGGAGCATCCTTATTCCCTTCCCTTCTGCATTTTATCACTTATCTTTCTTAATACTCTTATGACAGCCAGGATGCTTTCCTCTGGGCCATGCCCATTTTAATTCCACCCCTCATGGTAGGCACCTCAATAGGCAGAACTGAGAAAATGCATTTTTTTTCTCTTTCTTTAAAAAATATCTGAAGCCCCATCCCTCACCTACAGACTTCTGCTCCCTTTCTGGCAGGTACGTAAGGGCTTCTTTTCCAGGAGGAAGAACTCTCAATTCAGGACACACACAGAGTGTTTCCGCTTGAGTCAACAGGCCGGATTTATCCAGCATGGTGTGAAAACAACTTTCTTTCCACACTGAGGGGACTTCAAGGTAGCTCATTAGCTGTGTTCTGTCTCACTGAGCCCCTGCTGCTTTCTTTTTTCATTTTCCTTTAAATCAGTCCCATTTGACAAGTAATTATTCAGTGCTACTAAGTAGGCACTAAGTAAGTTCTGGGGAGATACAGATGTGGAAGACACAGTTTGCCCACAGGACAGAGAAGCAGACTCAGGCAGTGGCTGACATGTAAGGAGTGGTAAATACTCACAGCAAAGGCACAGAGGAGTTGACACAGCTCAGGGTGAGGCCATGTAAGGCTTTGCACAAGAGGCACAATCTGAGTGTTGAAGGGTGTGTGGGAGGCACTGGGCGGAACAGGTACAAAGGGCCTGTGCCCTCTTTCGCTCCCTTCTCCTCATAGGCCTCAGGAAGTGGCACTTGCCCAGGAAGATGCCCTCCAGCCCAGAGCGAGTCATAAGAAAAGCTTTTCCCACCTGGTCCTCCCTTCTGCAGACCAGTGCCATCAGATGCCCCCATCTGCTGCCCAGCGTCCTGCCCTGCTTCTGGGCAATCCTGCTTCCCTGCTGGAGACTTACTTTGTTCTCAGTGTCTGAGAGGATGATGTCCTGCTGGGTCACAGTTTCCATGGGACTGGTCAGGAACAGGTCCTCTTTGGAGCTAGCTTTTCCACTGCCTGCCTTCTTCATGGGAATGGCATTGGGTGGCTGCTGCCCAAACTTGATATTCTTGCCCAGCTGCCGCTGGAGAGAAACAAAAGAAAGACATTTCTGAAGCAGTGAAGCGATCTCCAAAACCACAGCCAAGCTTCCCAGCACATCTAGGGAGCACTGAGGCATAGGCTATGCATGGCTGCTTTCTAGACACACTGCCAGGGGCCATGATGCACTCACTCCTGCAGTGTGTTCACCTGTCTTCCGGCCTCTTTCCTTCCCCTTCTTCAGACCATGAGCCTTTGCATCCAGCCACCTCCTGGGGAAAGGCCCAACTTTTCCTAGTGGGTAAAGGGATCATCTTTCTGAACCAAAAATTGGAATATCTAGTTTTGATTTTTAAGACATAAATGTAAGGCATCTATTAAAAATATAAATATTATACAGAGTATAGTTGCATGAAATGTAGGAACCATTGGGGAAATCAAGATTCTTAGAGCAGGGGTGCCACACGGGAATCTTCCAGCCCCTACTGACACTTCCTGTGAGCATTTGTACTCTCACCACTGTCCCCACCAGCACCTAGTGTGCTATCCCACACCAGAGTCCCATGCTCTGGTCCCAGGCCTCAAGATGCATAAGGCCCTGAGGGCCTTGCAAGTCCCTGATCAGCATCGAAATCACATAGGGATGGGAACACTCTTCTTTGCCTTGTTGGAGCAGAGCACACATTGAAATGGGAAGGGAGGAACCAGAGGCAGAAAAGGACCAAGGATGGGCTGATTACTGGTTGTGGTAGCTAAAAGGATAGGGAGAAAGGACCAAGAAAAGGGGTGTAACTAGGGAAGATAATATTTGGAATTAGATAAGGGGCAGGTCAGAAAAGGACAAATGTCTCCAGATGTCCCCACTGGGGGGCTTTCCTCACTGAGAACGAATGCTCTGGATGAGTGCTTTACTTGGGTTTCATCATCCTCACATGCTTCAAAAAAGATACCTGACATTTGTCTTTAGTCTGGCTCACATGTAACCCCATGGAGCTGCACAACAATCAGCAATTGCTTACTCCAACTCTCTCCCTTTGCCAAAAGCTCAGAAGTGCAGTGGGGAGGTGACTGACCCACGGTCATGGGGAGAATGAGTGGCCTCAAAGGAACGTGGGTCCGGGTCTTCTAAAGTCACACTTGGGATTATCTGCACTGCATTTCACCAGCTCCCATAACAGTTATGTAAAGAGATGGTGCAGCATTTTTAATACTTCTCTGAAGTTCCCTGCAGAAGAACCCCTTGGGGCAAATGCCATGTCTCTCACTCTCCTCCAACCAGCTCCCCACCCCTCCAGCCTGGCCTGGTGAGCAGTGAGGCTTGGCAGAGAGAAGCGAGCCTCCCCTCCCAGACCCTCCCAGGACCCGCATGCCAAGTCAGGAGCCCCAGGCAAGGATCTGAACCCTCCTGCTGTCTTCCCACCTGAGCAGGGCTCGGGTCCCCCAGGGAAAGGTGCACATCCAAAGCCTGAGAGGAATTCAGCCAGGGAGGGCGGGGCAGCTTCAGCAGCCTGAGAGGGTTGCGGGGAGCAGAGGTTGAGAAAGGGCATCTCCCCAAACAAGTCCAGCAGGAAGCAGCAGTTAGCATCTACTCTACATCAATGAGCAGGCACAGTTAGGACAGCCAAGGGGTTAGACAAGAGGACGCGGAGTTACACAGCCTCAGGCCATCTTGCTCTGCTGTTCTGAGGGCACAGGGTGGGAACCTCAGGCCATCTTGCTCTGCTGTTCTGAGGGCACAGGGTGGGAACCTGGGCCGAAGACATAGGGAAGGCTCCCGTGTCCTCCCAGGCCGAGGGCCAAAAAATGCATCACATCTCAGCTACCAGTGAAACTTCCTGTGAGCAGCGTCTGCGGCTTGCCAGGGCTCCTGAGTGCCAGATGGGGTGTTTCTTTTTTTAATTAATACAACATAATTGTGCATATTCATGGAGTACAGTGTGATAGTGCATGTATACAATGTGTAATGATCAAATTGGGATTTATAATTGGTATATCCATCACCTCAAATAGTCATCATTTCATTGTGTAGGGAACACTCAAAATTCTCTTTTATAACAAGGAATTATACTTAAGCATAGTAATTCTACTGAGCTATAGAATGTAGAACTTATTTCTTCTTCTAGCTGTAATGTGCCTCTTGACCAACCGAGATGAACATACTTCTTGTACCCACAAAGGAAAGGATAATTCTGTAATGCACTTCCTGGCCTAACTCTCTAATGCCATTAAATGAGGACTTTTGCCACCAATGCAACAACAACAACAAAACCCAAAACCACAACAGATTATGCTAATATTTTACTTCATCTGGGTCCTTTCTGGAATACTGATGTTGGTCTATTCTGATTCTTAAGAGACAAAGAGAATGTGGCCAAATGTAATCACAGTCTAGACTGAAAGTCCAGACTGGGTGATTACTGTAGCCTCAAATGGAAATAAAAAATAGAACAAGAACAGGAACAATGTGGAACATAGGACAGAGCTGGCAAACAGAAGGAGGAATGTTAAGCGGCAGAGAACTCGAGTGGCACATGGAGCGGAAGGGGCAGAGGACAGAGGTGATATGGGAGGAGGGGGATGAAGGCCAAGGGAGAGCTCAAGGCCCCACCTGCCCTTGGAGGAAGAGGGAGTAAAGGAGGAGGGAGGGGGTGGGAGAGAATGAGAGGGTGTGTGTATGATGCAGGGTTAATTTATCTCACACATAACTTCATCCTGGCCCCCCAAAATACTGCTGTTGCCTTTCAGAATGAAAAATGTATCTCGGTAAGAAGCTGATGAGAAATCTCCCTGGAGAGAAGGAGGCAGGCTGGCATTTGGAGATCTTCCAGGAGGAACTGAGAGGCAGGAGGGGAGTGGCTGCCACTGTGAGGAGGAGCTGGGAGGCCATGTAGTCAGCTTCATGGCCCTCAGCTGTGGGCCGGCGCCCAGCGATCCTGTGGAACCCAGGGACCAGGCCTTCAGCGTCACACTCTTCCTGAAGCCCTTCTTCTAACTCTCCCTTCCGCCGCCTTGGGAAGGCTGGGCTGCTGTGGCATTTTAGGAGATGTAATGACAAGGAAAAGGTTCCTGGTGAAAACTAGCTGATGATCTCAGGTGTCACGTGAATTGAATATTTGTATACATGTGGCTTTTTTGTTACTTTAATTTGCCTACTAATCGGCGCTGTCACAACAGGAACCATGATACTGAAAACCAGGCTGTTACAGGCTGAGTTGGCCCTTAAATCCAGAGATAAACTACCACTCTCTCCCCCTTTAAAAAAAAAAAAAAGCTAGGAGCTCTGTCTGTATACGCTGCAATTACAACCAGAGGCAAGAGTGGCATCTTGGGCCTATATGCTAATCTATTTTTCTGGTGGCTATGAATGGAGTTACTGTTGAGACTGGAATGTGAGCTAAAAGGAGCTATATTTTATTCATCAAATTGGGCCATTCTGTTATAACATGGAATGCTGGAGAACGAGGTTACAGGAATGCACATCCATATTCATGAGGCTTGTTCCTATGGTGTGGAAATCCAACGCACATCACATTCTGCAGCTCTCTCCTTGCCAGTGTCTAAATTTTCCCACATTTTTTTTCACAGACATTCTTCAAACTATGTAAGAGCAAAGCAGAGGAAAAAATAAAGTTTCTATCTTTCTGAGCACTAGATACTGTCATCCTTAAAGTGAAGTTCATGAAAAGAAAAAACATACCGATTAAGGACATCTGCCCTAAGAAGCGTCTAAGAACAGGGATCTGTGTCCTTGATAGTTATGTTAGATGTCAAAACGCTTATATGTACGATTTGGGTATTAGTAGGTGCAATGCAGGTCAGTGGCAGACACCAGCTACTGAGAATGGAAGTTTCTCTTTTATGTCCAATATCTGTGGTTCAAATAAACTAAATGCTCCCTCAACAAAGGTGTGCAGAAATTCTCCAAATCACCTGAGGCTTAGGTTATGATACGTCTGAGTTTTATCATCAGTTGGTATTTACCTCACAGACTAATCTAATCCCAAATCAATAGACTCCCTCCCCGGGCAGTGTTTCTGGGAAGCTGTAGGTAACGTCAAGGTCACTGCCACCTGGACGCGATGACCTGTAGAGTGCTACAGCCACTCCGTGTGACGGCAGGCGCATGCTGGCTTCATCCAGACTGCAGGTCTTAGGGACTGCAGAGGCCTCACAGGCACTCATCTCATGCCTCCTCTTCATTGTTTAGGGGGAAACTGTCAGAGAGGTTAAATGATTTCACTGCAGGCCACACTACCGCTTTTTATCTCACTGCAATCTCTCATTCATTCAAATGCTATTCATCCCACTGGTCATGAAGCAACTGACTCCTTATGTACAGCATCATCCAAAGGCACAGCACTGTGGTGTTCTTTGCAGTAACTGTTCTGTACATTAAAATTTGTTCTCAACATGTACATATTTTGTTTTTTTTGGTACTGGAGATTGAGCTCAGGACCTTGGGCTTGGGAGGCAAGCGTGTCACCCCTGAGCTAAATACCTGGCCCTTGTGCACATTATTTTTATTCTCAGAGAAATATGCATTGTTTTGTTTGAAAAAGTTCAATCTCTTGCCACAGAAATTTTGGTAGGTGGCAGAGTCACATTATTCAGGAAAAGGCAGGCTGCTGTGTGCTGCATTTAGTTATTCTGTACTCAGTGGAGAGAGTGCATTGTACTCAGCTGCAGGTGCATTGTGACAGTTCTAGGTGTGATGACAACCTGTGGACACTAGAGGACAACCTTTGCAAATGTATTAATATGGACATCCTTCCCTTGGCTTCTGAGGGCTCCAAGGGCCAGGCAGTTTCCTAGGCCACAGAAAAATGTCATTAAAAAAAAAATGACATTCCATTAGAAATCTCATTTGAAAAGAACGCCTTAACAATGGTTGCTAATCAGATTCTAGGCCATTTACTGTTGAATACGTGTTATCCAATTTTTCTCTTTTGAAAAATAAACATACACATATACACAAAGACAATTCCAGACATAAAAACATATATGCCTCCGACACAGCTGAACTCTCTCATTCCATGCTGGAGTCTAGGGCGGGGGCGGTCTTTTGTGCTGCTTACTAAGCATCAATACCAGCATGACGTTGTCATGAAAAAATGCAAAGCATTCATGCAAGTTAATAAAGTTACTACTATTTCTTCAACTTACCAGGAACATACTGCTTAGTCGACTGAAAAATAAAGCACAGTCTTTTGGGGGTGATACAGTTATATCTTAGGTCACTCCAAAATTACATTTGCTAAGATTATGGTCCCCATTTCCCTCACTGAAAAGCAAAGCCTTTTATACTTTTCAAAAATATCATTATAGACCTGAAAGGAAGCTTGGGAATTCATGCAGCAAAGGTAAAATTAGGCAAACTTTGTATGAGTAGATACTGTCAGATGATAGCACTCAAATTAAATGGTTATACTTCTTTACTCACATTTTTCTTCTTGGGAAAATAGAACTGTTGCTTCAGGGAAGCTGGCCATTTCACACTTATGAGATCAGATTACATAAGAAGCATATCTTACTGTTAGCAGAAATCACAAACACTCATATTTTTATCAGGTTCCTATCTTTTCAATACTGCATGCACAAGTCCGTATTTTTTTACAGTCCTAAATCCACTTCTTGGGGTGACAGTGGCATTAGCATGATGTTACACAAAAGATATCATTTAAGAAAACAGGCACGTATCTACTTTTTAGAGAAGTTCTAGATCGTAAATACAGCTGGTTTGGAATATAGGTTTGGAACCTATTGAGAATAATGTTCTAGGAATCAACAGACCAAGGGATGAGTAAAGCTATCCCCTACTTATCTCCACCCACCCTCCCCGCTCTTCTCTAAACTCTGAGAAATGATGCTTAGCTTTTCCCCAAAGTCTGAAAACCATGTAAGAGCACGGCCAGCTACAGCAGAAAGTGCAACCTGGTTAGCAAGTGCTGGGATTTGAAGGCCCGGCCGGGCTGCCTCTGAGGGACTCTGTCCTTGGCACTGGCGGGCGCAGGCATAAGGTGTGAGCAATTTTGGGCGTGGTTCCAGGGTGCTGGCTGCTTTCCCATCTGCTATTTTCAGCTCAGTGTGTGTAGAATATGTGACCAAATACAGGTCATAAAGTACATAGCTCATGTTCAGTAGAAATAAGAACATTTCAGGAAAACAAACAATTTTTGATTATGAAGTTTCACTGTCTAATGCTACTTGGGCCAGCCGTTCTTTTATTCTCATTCATTCACTGTTGCTGACTTACAGACAGATGGCAATCAGCGTCTCAGAGTTTAAAATACAGGCAGCCACTAAGCACCACATCTCAGAGTGGCGCCTGCTTAGGCACTGCTCGTGAGGGCATTTTTCCAAGTGATGACGAGGCAGACCTATGTAGCCAGACCCAAGTATCTTTGCTTTCCTTATTTTTCCTGGAGTCCCTGGTATTTCAGGTACATTCAGTTAAGAATTATTTTATGGTATTTGCATTGCTAGGGAGTCACCCCTGAGTCAACATTAGTTAGGAAAACTGGCCATTCTGCAGTGGGCACAGGAGGGAGTTTGTGATGTCTTCCGAGACACAGTGGCTGGAGAACTAGACCTATAACTGCAGCAGAAAAAGTGTCACCAGTCACTGGGCAATGGCAGGGACTTGACGGTGACCTTGTGCAGTGCAGACTCGGTGGCAGCAGCCTTTGGCTATAGTGTGTGGGCTGACTTAGTAGTCAGGAGCTCTTTCCCCCATCCAAACCCTCAGCTTCACCTGCACACTGTTCTTCTGTCCAGTCAGAGAGGAGAGGACAGCTGGAGGGAACAGGAGAGGGTGTGCCGTGCAGGTGGTGCAGGGGAATAATGCACCTTACACATGGGTTTCCAAAGAATGAGTCAGGTTCCGGAAAGCAGAGCTTCTCACCAGAAGCGACCCCTGGACCTCCCCATCCATCAGCCAAGGAAAAACTGGGGATTTTTCCACTTCCATCCACAGCCGGGCCCAACCTCTGGTTCTGGTTCATCTCAGGCTGTCTTACCTGAAGAGTTTTGACTTTGCCCAGGATGTTGTCCTGTGACATTGCTTGAACTGTCTGCTCACTTTCTGCTCCCCCATCAGGGATAAAAATACTGTCATGGGAAAACACCCGAGTTCCCACAGAACAGTTGAAGGACCTGGAATGCAAATCATGTGCTTCATTTTATTAGGATGATAAAATTTCTTTTGGCAATTCATTTTGCTGTTCTTCTTGAGGGACACCACCCACATCCCCGTGTTGCTCAGAAAGCACTCCAGCACTCTGGTCCATTCTGCTGGGAATCAGCCAAGGACAAAATGGCCCCCCAGAGTGGGGAGCATGGTTCTTACACCACCTGGGTTCAGAACCACTGCAGGACTTATTTGGAGTCTTTCCCAACTGAGTGCTATCAGGTTTTGCTCTAGTAAGTCTTGCCAATCAAGTAACTTGTTACCAAGTAGCAGACCTAGAAGAGGCAAGAACTTTGTTCACGTTACAATAACACTGGATGAAAGACACACATCTAACACAGAGATTTTGGAAGAGGACTAGAAATGCAGACAGGGGCTACTAATGCTCACAGATTTCAAAGCAAGGGGAAAAATTTGTGCTGGGGCCATTCTGACAGGGTTTATATATACTGGACACCTTACAGGTGCTAGTAGCCAACTGCTATGGTTTGACATAGTTTGAGAGGGTCCCCCTAGGGTTCCTGTGCTGGAAGCGTGGCACTCAGTGTGGTGATGCTAAGATCTGGTAATACTTTGAAGAGGTGGAACCTAAGTCATTCAGGGCACTGCTCTCGGAAGGAATTCGTGAAGTTCTCATGGAATCCAAGTTCTCCCAAGAGTTGTTACAGAACAGCAAGCCTGCCCCCGTGACCCCACTATGCTCTGGCTTCCCTTCCTGCCATGTGAGCTCTCCCTCTTGCACACGTCCTGCCATGATAGTAACCACTATGATGGGATATAGACAGCACTGGCAAGAGCTGGTACCATGCAATTTGGACTTTGGGTTTCCAAAACTGTGAGCTAAATAAACTATATTCTTTATGTTTCCAGCCTCAGGTACTCTGTTATAGTAACGAAAAACAGACTAATCACCAACAATAGACACTTTTTAGTTAAAGGTTAGACTTCAAGGAAGTCTGGACTTCTACCTGACATGAGTACAAGCAGTATGAATGCAGGAAGAAGAAGCCACAGAGGCAAACTCCTCCTTACTTGGCTTTCAAAACTCATTTATCCCCGGGAAAGAACATCCACAGATGCTGCCAGCTCCTCACAGGGCAGGAGGGCAGCTCACTATCCCAACCACAGGGATCACATTTCCATGACACCAGGCAGGAGGAAGCCCTCAGAGGGGTGCGAGGAGTCCACTTCCTCCTCGTCATCCCCAGAAAGAGGCCCCAACAGAAGGTTTTCTCAGACTATACACAGGAGAGAACAGCCCTGGAGAAAGGCATTTCAGGCAGGGACCTCTGCACAGAATTACAGCACACAGTGTGCAGAGTCCTGGGCAGCTGTACTGTTATCTGCCCTTGTCTAGACCAATTTGGGAAGACTGATACCAAATTCTTTGGTTTTTGTTTTGTTTTGTTTTTTGAGACAGGGTCTCACTATGTAGTTGAGCTGACCTGGAGCTCACTATGTAGCCCAGGCTGGTCTCTAACTCGCAGCGATCCTCCTGCCTCAGCCTTCTGAGTGCTGGGATTACAGATGTGTGTGCCACCACGCGCCCAGCCTGACTACCAAATTCTTCATTTAATTTACCAAATGCAAGAAGAATGGTAAACAGAGCATCTGAGGTTTAGAAACAGAAGACCTGGATGTGAGCTTCCTGGGTGTGTTACCTTAGGCTATAGCAACAACACCTAACCTTTAGTTGGGTGAAAACTTTGCTGATGAGTTTTACTTTCATTATCTAATTTAATCCTCCTCACCACCATCTTGTTAGAGATGAAACTTGGGACAAATAACCTTACCTAAATTAGCCATTCAAGTTGAAGTAACAGAACAAGGAATCAAACTCAAACCTCTTGAATATAGCCTTGTGCCAGCCAGATGTCATGTCTTAAAGTATGGAAAACCATAAGAGTACCACCAGCCAGGGGGATGGTATATGGCAGAGGAAGACAGGTTTGCAAATGCCACATGGGTTGGTACCTGAAGGGTTGAAGATACTAAGTAGCTAGAAGAATGCGTAACACTTCAGCTAAATAAAACAGGATACTCGATGTACATAATACTCAAGGATTATGGGATAGGTACTGTTATTAAACCTATTTTATAGATGAGAAACTAAGGCCTAATGACAGTAACTTGTCAAGGGAATGCCTATATGTGAATCTGGCCTAGGTCTCTGGTGTCTACTTGTCTGTGTTTTTTTGTCTTTTGTCATCATTGAGTTTATTGGTACTTTTTAAGTATACAGTACAGTTACATTCATCATTGGGATCTTGTACCTTTACATGACAGATCTTGGGTCTCATTTTTTCCCCAAACCCCTGCCCTCCTTTTGCCACCTCCACCCTTCCCTATTTACAAAAACTTTGTCTGTTTTGACAGCAATAATCTCAAACTATCTTAACCCCTATAGCTTTTAAGTTAGTACTGGTATCTATGCTTTAAGTTTTTCAACATTTTTATTCCCACAAGATGGCTATCCTGTCTCTTTGTATTTCTACATAACTTTACACACACACACACACACACCCCACATACTTCCATACTCTGGAGATTATTTTTGTGATATTAGATCATCACAAAGTGGACAGATTTGGACAGATAACCATACAATATTAAATATTTCAATCCACCAACATGGGATATCTCTGTGTGTTTACATCACCTTTACTTTATCTCAGTAATGTTTTGGTAGCTTTCTATATAGTGGTCTTGTATATTTTTAAATAGATCTTTTCATAGATATTTGGTAGATTCGAATTTTTATAAATAAAATAGGTTACAATTTTTATTTTCTGAGTTTTACTGGTGGAATATAAAATACAACTGTTTTTAATACGCTGGTCTTATGACCTGAAATGTTGTAGGGTTAATTTACTACCAATGATCATATAACTGGTAATTCTTTTGGATTTTATATGTATATAGTCAAGTTATCTGCAACAAAAGACCATTTTATTTCTTCCTTTTCAATACTGTATGCTTTTTTTCTTTCTTTCCTTTTTCCCCCCTGTGGAATTAGCTAGAATCTTCATTCAAAACTGAACAGAAGTGGTGATGGTGGACACTGTCATGCACCCAAACTCAAGGAGAAAGCACACAATATTTCATCGATTATAACACTAGTTATAGAATTTTGTAGATGTCTGAATCAATGCTTCTCTGAAAAGACACATGATCTGCCTTTTATTTACAGTGGATTAAACATTTATTGCATTGTCTTTGGCTTCCAGTGACTTCACTCTGATAAGGATAGGTGTAAACTTCTTTGAATTTATCCAGTTTGGGACACACAGCACTTCTTAAATCTGTGGCTTGATATCTTTATCAGTTTTGCAAAATCTCAGTATTTCTGAAATATTGCTTCTAGCTATTTTTCTTCTAATCCTGTTCTGATTTACCTATGTTAGGACCTTTCCACAAGAGGCATTTTTCTTTTATTCTCTTTTCTATAGCTATCATTCTTTTTTATTCAATAGGACTCAGAGTAGATTTTTGTAAGGACCTACCTTCCAACAAATTCTCTCCTGCTTTGTTCAATTTTATTTATTTATTTATTTGTTTATTTATTGGTACTGGGGATTGAACTCGGGTCCTTGAGCTTGCGAAGCAGGCGCTGGAACCACTAAGCTAAATCCCCAGTCCTGTTCAATTTTATATTAAAACCATCTATTGAGTTTTTGATTTTAGGTTTTGGTGTCTCTAATTTCCACTTATTTATTATTAATGGATTCCAATTCCCCAATGAAATGTTCCATTTTACCAACTAACTTCTTGAAATATACTAATCATGATTATTTTAAAGTCTCTAAAATTTCAGTGTCTTAGTCACACTTGGGTCTATTTCTATTGTCTTGTTTTCCTCAGAGTCAGTTTCTTAGATGCTTAGTGGTGTTTTATTGATTTTCACATTATTATGATTGGAAAATTTAGAGCTTGGGTTCTTTCCCTCAAGAGAGCAGACAGCAAGAGATCAAATCAGATCACCTCAAAACAATCACAAACAGCTGATTCATGGGTGGTCAGCAATCTTATTTGTTTGTTTAGGAGAAGGTATCAGGAATTTAATCCAGGGGTTTTGTATTTGGCCCCCTTTTTTTTTTTAATGTAGTTTAGGCTGGCCTTGAATTCACCATGTAGCTCAGGCTGGCCTTGAACTTACTGCAATCCTTCTTCCTCATTACAGGTGCTCTTTTTGTTTCTTGAGAGAGTTTCGTTAAGCCACTAAATTATCTAGGCTGGGCTTGAGGTGGCAATCCTCCTGCCTCAGCCTCCTATAATAAGTACCACCACACCTGGCTGGCTACCAATCTTTCTAAGGCTCAGACCACTGCAGCTTTGTCCTCACTTCTAAAGTATATGGAGCACCTGGTTATTTCCTAGGGTCCCTCTTCTTTGCAAGCCTTGAGCCCCGATTTTTGTTTTCCCAACTCCACAGACCATCAAAACTCTGTCTTGCTTTTCAGCCTCTTTCCCTGTGCAGCTTTAGCAACAAACACTTCAAATAGAAAACTGTTGCCTAGATTTGGCTTCAGGAATCTGGGTTTCTCATCTCTTGAGGATCTTAATTGTCTCAAGTTCTGGCTTACGTGCAGCCTCAGTCTCCAACTGTTGTATCCCCAGCCCCACAAGGCTGCCTCTATTTTCTGTTGTCAGCCACCCTCAGGCTTTTCAACCTCCTTCCCTCCACCCAAAGTCAACTGATGACCGCAGGAGAAAAAACACCACGGAAGGTTCCATTTCGTTCAGTGGCTTCCCTTCTCTCTGGGGTGTTGCTGCTCCAGCCTGCCACCTCAGCAGCAACATGATGCCTTTGTTTCAATATTCTACACAGATTTCTAGTTCTTCTTGGTGGCAATACTGACATGGCCAGGAGTGGAAGTAATTACGTTACTTTTTGATATTTAGTCATTTCTACCACATGATAATCATGTCCAAATTTTATTGATACAACCATTGCTCTAAAGAGGAC